GCATCCAGGGCCAGGATCTGTGCCATGGTAAACAGGGAGAGGGCAAAGCCTCTCTGAAAAAGAGGCTGAAACTGAAAAATGTCCCTCCTCTGTCCTGTGGTGTGACAGCACCACTGTGGAACAGGTTACCTTTATTTGACAGAGTTTTTGTGTAATTTGCTTTGATGGTGGCACAAAAAGAGCGTTCCTTCACCAGTGATGTAATCCTTCTTCATGTTAGGACACAACTCAATGTCCTTCACTCTGCTTTTTCTCATGGATGAACTGGATTAGGTCTCCTTGATAATTCTGAGGCCCAATGTAATGCTTTTGCCTTCTGCTACTTGCACTGGGTTCAGCAATAAAAGGTGGAAACAGGAAGAAGAGGGGAGGGGTGCGTTCTCATTGGGAAAACGTCGGTCCTCCTCCTGAACACTGGCTATGTGCGTTGAGGCCCTGCTTTAAGGACGTGGTCAAGCATTGCACATTTGTGGGCAGTGGAGAGTAATTTCTTTCCTCTGCACTTCCACATAGACTTTATTTGTCTTGTTTGTTTGTTTTCCTTTTTTTTTTCCCTTTCCCCCTCCCTTTTTCCCTTTCCCTTTTTTTCCCTTTAGTTAAATAGTTTAGTTCATAATAATCTTTCTTTAATAATAATAATAATTATTATTATTTCCCTTTAATTAAATTATCCATAACTCAACCCGTAAGTTGTTCTTTACTTTACTTCTTCCCCTCCTCATCTAAGAAGGGGGAGTGAGAGAGCGGTTGTGGTGTTTAGCTGCCTAGAACTGAAAAGCACCGCACTACTCCAGCACAATATGAGTGACCTTCCTTTACTCTGCGCATTGACCTCACAGGTCATTTTGAATTTTTCACTTTCAAAACCTTAGTTGGATGAGGACCATTTCCAAAGTGGGGCAAGCTGATGGGTTCTGGCTCAGCCATTTGAATTATGCTGTACTTGAGTTTATCAGCCTGAGTTAACTAAAGATGACCCAGGAAGGTAATGGATGTTCACGTGTCTAGTAGGAATAAGGGAGAGTATCTCAGGTTTCCAAGGGCCATTTCAAATCTAGGTCAGTCCTAGCAACTCACTGAAGAAGAGGTTTGTCTTTGAAGAGGTTTCCTGTGTTGCACCGGGTTGCAGTTGCAGGGACAAAGACCACGGCTGGCAGTGGCGGTGCCCTGGGAACTCCACCTGGCTCCACCTGATTTTCCCAAAGGGCTCCGGCCTCCTGCAGGTCTTTTCTGACACCTGCCAGTGCAGGGAAGTGCCTCAAACACAACGGGGCCACTGGAGGTTTTCCCTGGTTATGCTCATGGTCAGACAGCAACGCTCGGCCTGAACACCCAGCTATTTCTTTAGTACTTGAATGATAAAGCAACTACTCATCAGCTCAGATGATTCAATCCCTTCTGTAAAACGTCTCACATGAAGTGTAATTTCTTTCATGAAGAAATGCTAATTTCCATGGTCTATATTAATGGCAGGAGAAGAAATAGTGATGTTCACCTGTACTTGCATTCTCATCTCTTTGTCTATCATGGTGTGCTCCCTCGTCTTCCAGGCACAAAACCCATCTTGATTACACAGAACATGCTGAATGTCCCCTTTCCACCTGCCTGTCTGGACCTGGACTTCCCATTGTTCTCCTCGTTTTCCCTCCCCTTACTCTTTGACCATTCAGACCGCTCTCAGTGGCCCAGTTGCTGCTTTAAGTTTCAGTGAGTTCAAGCTTACCCATCTCTCAGCAGTCTTTTAATGGTTTCCTTAGTAAGACCCTCATCATTTATCATTGAATTAGTATGATATGGATTAATATTAACACAATTATTTAAAGTTTCCTATTAATCACTGTAAAATACATCATGTACAGTCATCCTTTTGGGAAGGTAAACATCACTGGAGGCAACAAAATAAGGAACTTGAACGTTGTTGGGTTTTTGTTGTTGTTGTTGTTGTTGTTGTTTTTGTTTGTTTGTTTTTTGAAAATTGCAGCATGATTTCCTGTTGTTTGTTTTGAAATAGGAAAACCCCTGTTCTTCCCACCTAAGCAGGGCTTCAAAGGAGAAACCCTAGACCAATACCTATAGCAGAATGATGCTCTAAACTGAATCACAACAAAATCCAGAGTTTAAAATGAAGAAAGATTTTTATTAGATGCTCTTTGAAATCTTCCCCCTTAACTAGAACATGAAAGCTCTACAATTAGCTGAAAAAGTCTTGAAGACTTGAAGAAAATGGTGGGAGAGATATGGCTCCTTAGGAGTTTCTGTGTTTTAATGAGTTCCATGGAGTATTTTGGTGCTGTGTCAATGAAACTTGGGTACTGAGCGGAGAATGATGCAACTGTGTGAAAAAGCAAATGGACAAGGAAAAGCTGAAGTGACTTGGAGTCTTAATGGGCCCCACTGAGGTCTGTTACTAACAAAGCTTCCCCAAGGACATGTTAGGACAGATAATTGGAGGCCATGATTACAGACAGGCAAAGCACTGTGTTGAGAAAAGTCTTGGTTGGTTTTGGTGAAGCAAAAGGGCCAAGGCCTGACCCCAGTCACTGCAAGGAGAGATCCTGCACCCCCCTGTTTGGCTCAGGACTTTTCTTGGGGGTCTGAGGAATGCGATGGGCAGTGTGATGCCGTAAGAAGAACACTGGTGTGACACCTCCCTGCCTCTGCACAGGGTTGCAAGGAAGAAAAGAGGCTGCATTGCAATGACTATATGTCATCTTCTCATAAGCTCTAGCCAAAGGGACAGGGCTGTTGGGTCCTTCCATTCTAGCCAGCACCCTCTGCCTTCTCTGCATGATTTCAAATGCTCTCCCACACTTTTTCCTACTTCCTGGAAGTTTGCAGATAGCCATCTCTGTTCACCACCTTGCTCTCATCCCAGGATTTCAATCATTTCACAAATGTCTCATCAACCCTCACCAGCTGTTCCTTTAAAAAAGGAGCTAGGGTCTGATCATAGATACCTCACCAGCATCTTCCAAGCCAGGGGCCTGCTGCTGGCCTTGCAGCTTCTTGGCTACACACAGCCAAGCCTTGTGCCTGCTGCTGTCCACTCATGGACTCAAGCAGAAGGGACAGGACAACCCATCTGGGGGTCTTCTCTCTGGGTCCTCCTGGGTCTGGAGACAGAGGGGATCCCCCAGTCAGCATGCCAAGCAGGTGCCTTCTGCTGGCCTAGCAGGGCCACTGCCAGATGTCAGCCCAAAAGTGCAGCTCCCAGGGAGAAGGCAAGGGTGACCTGCCACCTCCAGACACAAGTGACCTCACAGTCCCTTTCTGTGACACGTTCCTGCTGCTGCCCTATCCACTGCAGAGACAGAAGTGACCTCACAGTCACTGCCACAGTCACATTCCTGCTGCTGGTGCAGGAGATCCTGAGGCAGAGCTGAGCTCATCACAGCATTCCCACCCTTCTCCTCCTTGTGGCCCACAAGCTGATCAGATCCATGGCCCCTCACATTCATTTGCGGTAAGGGTTTTGTTTATGTCTCTTAAGCAGTTTTGTAGTGTTAAATAGACCATTTTAATGCCACTATTAAGGGCAGAGATCAGAGTGATTAAGAGAGGAAGAGCTAGGGGAAACAGCTATGGGCTGAGTTTTGTCTTCTAGGGATACTTTGAGGTCAGTCATTAGAGTAGTGGATTCCTGTCAGGGTGCTGAGTAGCATTTAGGTGTAGGAATTAAGTTTACAGGTTGAAGCCAGGGATTAGCCTCATATGACTATTTTAAGTCACAGTTACTCTATTCCTGAGAAAAGTGGCACTTCAGACATGTTGGAAAAGGATACAAAAGTCCATCAGAGCTCCCTGCACCTGCAGCAGCCACACTAGCCCTCAGCAGATGTTCTGGCTGGCACGCACGGGGAGGTGCTGGCATGCGTCAGAGAGCAGCAAGGAGGGCGCTGGAGAAGGCCTGGGCAAGGCGGGTGGCAGAGCCCCATGCAGGGGCTGGCTGGGGGTCCCCTCTGCTGCAGCTAGCTCACACAGCGTGGCAGGAGGAGGCCAGGCAGGGCTCGTGGCCAAGGGGCAGAGCCTGGCCCTGGGCTCTTCCTGACGTCCCTGCAGGTCCTGGCAGACTGCGGGGAGGGGACGAATGCCCTGGGCCCCCTTCCTGCTCTGCCCAGGCTAGCAAGGGCCCAGAACGGCCTCCTCTCCCCTGCCCCTTCAGCTCTGGGCTCCCTTCATGCAGCCCTGGCTCTGCAGCACCAAGCCCTGCTGGGAGCCCTCCCCTGCATGCTGCCACCGCTCCCCGACGCTGCTGTTGCCCTCTGCCGGGCACTGCCCAGCCCAGCCCAGTTCCTGCCCACCTCTCCCCAGCTCCCTGCCCTCTCCCCACCCCAGCCAAGCCCAGCAGCCCAGGCTGGGCTGGCCCCAGGCCAGTGCCCACCGCAGGCTGCTGCAGGGCTCTGGGCATGGCCACCACAGCCCCAGCCCCTAACAAGCTGGTACAAAGGTGTCTCTGGGCCTCCCCAGCCACCCCCACGCTGGGGCCAGCCACAGCTCAGGAGATGGAGGTCCGTGAAGCTGCCGTAGCCCTGGTATCTTGCCTGGGAGATCCCCATCACAGTGTCTGTTTCCCGCAGAGCCAGCCCTGCTCCCCAGTCCAGCACAAGAGGTCTGGCCCAGGCACATAGCAGCTCCAGATTCCAGTCCATAAAGCTCCAGATTGCCCTACTGAGTAGCGTTGGGCAGCACCAAGTGCCATGAGAGCTGTTCCTAAATTTGACAGCAGGGCTTTTGTCCCTGAGCCCCTTCCTTGTTGGGAGAATGAGATGGGATCTGAGAGCTGTGAATACCTCATGGCTTATTGTCTTTATCTACACAGGAAGATTGGTTCTTAAAGTACCGTAGATGACTGGGTCAAAATAAAAATCAACATGTAGAAGGATAAGAAGAAATTCCCTTAATTTAAAATAATATCATGCATTTAAAAAAAAATAAGAATAAACAATTTTAGAAAACATTTTGTGAGAAATTTTCTCAGTACTGTTAGGATGGTGAGCATATTATTGATGCTTAAGAAGTATGTATGAAAGTAATTTCCTGAGTGCATTTTTCAGTTCCTGGTTCCTCATGCTGTAGATGATGGGATTCACTGCTGGAGGCACCACCGAGTACAGAAATGACACCACCAGGTCCAGGGATGGGGAAGAGATCGAGGAAGGCTTCAGGTAGGTAAACATGACAGTGGTGACCATCAGGGAGACCACGGCCAGGTGAGGGAGGCACATGGAAAAGGCTTTGTGCCGGCCCTGCTCAGAGGGCATCCTCAGCACGGCCCTGAAGATCTGCACATAGGACAGCACAATGAAAACAAAACAACCACAGCCTAAAGAAACACTAAATACAAGTGCCCCGAATTGCCTGAGGTAGGCATCTGAGCAGGAGAGCTTGAGGATGTGGGGGATTTCACAGAAGAACTGGTCCACAGCATTGCCTTGGCAGAGGGGCAGGGAAAATGTACTGGCCATGTGCAGGACAGCATCAAGAATGCCACTGCCCCAGGCAGCTGCTGCCATCTGGGCACAAGCTCTGCTGCCCAGGAGGCTCCCGTAGTGCAGGGGCTTGCAGATGGCAACATAGCGGTCGTAGGCCATGACGGTGAGGAGATAAAACTCCGAACCAAAGAAGAATACAAAAAAGAAGACTTGAGCAGCACAGCCTTGATAGGAGATGGCCCTATTGTACCAGAGGGCATTGGCCATGGCTTTGGGGAGAGTGGTAGAGATGGATCCCAGATCAAGGATGGCGAGGTTGAGGAGGAAGAAGTACATGGGGGTGTGGAGATGGTGATCGCAGGCTACGGCGCTGAGGATGAGGCCGTTGCCCAGGAGGGCAGCCAGGTAGATGCCCAGGAAGAGTGCGAAGTGCAGGAGCTGCAGCTCATGCGTGTCTGCGAATGCCAGCAGCAGGAACTCGCTCACAGAGCTGATGTTGGGCATTTTCTGACATTGGACCCAGTTGTCTGTTGAGGAGGAGGAGACGGAAAAAAAGTTAAAACAGAATTATCTGAGGAAAGCTGGAAATGAAACAGGAGAATGAGGGAAACCCAAGTTCAGTCTACTGTTCAAGTTCAAACTCATGAGCTTTGCAGTGCTGTTCCAAACAGCTCATCTGAATGATGAGCAGAGCTGCAGATATTTTGCTTTTCTTTATTATTTATTTTATTTTTTTTTCAGAGTTGCCCTGATACTGCTTAGGAGATGTATGAGATGGTTGAATGCTCTGACAGTTCATGTACATTCATAGTGAAACCCTTTGGGTGTCAGGAGGCAACAGGACTGTCCCTTGGTGAAGATCAAGCAGAGCAGCATTGTCCATCAGTCCTGCTCTCAGCTGCCCTGTGTCACCCCTCTGTGAGCTGCAGGATGATCCCTCTCAGGTGTTTCCCTGAGAAGAATCTGGAGACAGCTGAGAGCAGAGAACCCCCAGTCCAAGTGCAGCGGGACAGAATGTTCAACTTGTCTCCAGGTGAAAGTCTCAGCCAGAAGGAGCTTGGGAGCTTCTCCTTGTCTGGGCTCTGCCTGCGGTGATGGCCATGCCTGCCCCACAGCCCATGGGCTGCAGGGGGAGAGGAAGCCAGGAAGGGGCTGCTCCAGGGGAAGGTGTCTGCACTGCAGGGCATGGCTGCGAGGTGTCTGAATCTCCCCTGCTACAGCGTTTCTGGCAACAGCTCCTTCTGGCCGCCTGCCCCTCTCTCTGCTGCCTGCAGCTGTCCCTGCCGGGAGCTGCTGCTCTGCGCCCACCTCTTCTTTCCCCCTGCCCATGCTCACAGACCCCATCCCATGCGGCTGTGCTCAGCGCTGCCCTGCAGCACCCTGGCACCAACAGGGCCCTGCCAAGGGGCACCTCCATGGCTGCAGGAGCTACGGGGCAGCTGACAGAGAGCCCGGCATGGCCAGCCAGGGCAGGATGTTCTGGGCTGACCGGGGGCACCTGGCTTAGGGCACTCCGAGGGGCTTCTGCCAGACTTCCTCACCTCGCAAGGCAACCCAGCAGGACTCTCACAGCCTACTGCATTGCCCACTGCCCTCCCAGAAACAAGACCCAGCAGGAGACCCTTCCAGGACCTGCAGCTGCATGGCCCTGCAGCCAGACCCTTACCTTGTCAAGGGCTGTGCAGATTTCTCCTGCAGGCAGCTTTCAGCACCCTCCCACTGCCAAGTGCCTCCAAGCCCTCTCTCCTTCTCTCCTTTTCTCTGCTCCCTGTGCCAGCTGCAGTCAGAGCCCCCATCCCTGCTGCGCTGTGCAGAGGAGCTGCTCCTGGGCCCAGCTGTCTCTCTACACCAGGGCCCTCTTGCCACAAGCTTTCTCTGTCCCAGGAACCCGGCCCAGCTCAGCAGCACAGGCCCAGCCCAAGACATTGCAATCACCCCTCTGGGGGCTTGGCTGATGAGCCCACAAACCTCAGGCACTCAGAGACAATTGAAGACATCTCTCCAGAAGTGCAAGTCAGAGGCAAGTTTCCTGCAGTGTCCCCCTGAGGGCCAGCACTGACACAGCCTCCCTTGGAGCTCGTTAGAGCAGAACCCTGGAGGCAGTGATGACAAAGAGACAAAGGCAATGTGAAGGTGACACTGAGGTGTAGACAAACTGGATGTGTGTCACCAAGCACAAGGGCCAGACCTTGACCCCCAGCCCCTGGCAAAGGAGATCCTTTCCCTTCCCACCTTGCTCAGGGCTCTTCCTGAGCAGTAGGAGATGGGGATTTCTTTCTCTTCATGTCCAGTCTCAACATCCTGAAGTCAACTTGGTGGCATTATTTCTGTCTCATGCCATTTTCCCCTAGAGAGGAAAACTACAGTAGCTCCAAAACCATCCATCAGGCAGTCTCAGGCTCCTCTTGCTCTCCTTGGGGTCTCTACGCAACTGGGCCAGAGAAACCGAGGTGTCTCAGCCTGTACACAGGGCAGGTGCTTTAGGCATAGAACGCTATCTTGGCAGAACCTCTCTGGGCACTCTCCTGCAGATCTCCTAAAAGTGGAGCTATTCACTGGGACACCCTTGTGCGGGTGGTGTCACACTGAATTTCAGCTGAGTACGATAACTTGGATTTTTCTTGGTGGCCATACTCTTTGTAAGGCAACTCTGTAGGAAGCTGGCCTGGCTCCTCGTGAGCAGACACCACTGCTCGTATGGCACCCTTGTGGTGCCCAGGCCCTCCTCCTCCTGGGCACTGCTCACTCAGCAAGGTCCCAGTCTGCCTTGATGTGTGGGGTTCCTCTTACTCTGGTGCAGGACTGGGCTCTTCTCCTTGTAAATGTCAAGAGGTTTGTATAGGGATATACAGCTCTGATAAGTCTGGTATATATTATTACTATTCTTTATCTTTGTGCAGGACCACATCACAGAAATAACAGATGTCCAACAGAAGCTCAATCACTAAATTCCTCCTGCTGGCATTCGCAGACACGCGTGAGCTTCAGCTCCTGCACTTCGCGCTCTTCCTGGGCATCTACCTGGCTGCCCTCCTGGGCAACGGCCTCATCCTCAACGCCGTAGCCTGCCACCACCACCTCCACACCCCCATGTACTTCTTCCTCCTCAACCTCGCCCTCCTCGACGTGGGCTGCATCTCCACCACTCTGCCCAAAGCCATGGCCAATGCCCTCTGGGACACCAGGGCCATCTCCTATGAAGCATGTGGTGCACAGGTCTTTCCCTTTCCCTTTCCCTTTCCCTTCCTTTCCCTTTCCCTTTCCCTTTCCTTTCCCTTTCCCTTCCCTTTCCCTTTCCCTTTCCCTTTCCCTTTCCCTTTCCCTTTCCCTTTCCCTTTCCCTTTCCCTTTCCCTTTCCCTTTCCCTTTCCCTTTCCCTTTCCCTTTCCCTTTCCCTTTCCCTTCCTCTTCCTCTTCCTCTTCCTCTTCCTCTTCCTCTTCCTCTTCCTCTTCCTCTTCCTCTTCCTCTTCCTCTTCCTCTTCCTCTTCCTCTTCCTCTTCCTCTCTTCCTCTCTTCCTCTCTTCCTCTCTTCCTCTTCCTCTTCCTCTCTTCCTCTTCCTCTTCCTCTTCCTCTTCCTCTTCCTCTTCCTCTTCCTCTTCCTCTTCCTCTTCCTCTTATTTATCACAGCAGAATAGTGCATCTTTACTGTCATGGCCTACGACCACTACATTGCCATCTGCAAGCCCCTGCACTACGGGAGCCTCCAGGGCAGCAGAGCTTGTTCCCAGATGGCAGCAGCTGTTTGGGCATATACCTTTCTCACTGCTGTCCTGCACATGGCCAACACATTTTCCCTGCCCCTCTGCCAAGGCTATGCTGTGGACCAGTTCTTCTCTGAGGTCCCTCAGATCCTCAACCTCTCCTGCTCAGATGCCTACCTCAGGGAAGCTGGGCTTCTTGTATTTGCTTCCTGCTGGACCTTTATTTGTCTTGTTTTCATTGTGTTATCCTATGTGCAGATCTTCAGGGCAGTGCTGAGGATGCCCTCTGAGCAGGGCCTGCACAATACCTTTTCCACATGCTTCCTCATGTGACCGTGGTCTCCCTGATGGTCAGCACTGTCCTGTTTGCCTACCTGAAGCCTCCCTCCATCTCCACCTCCTCCAGGGATCTTGTCGTGGCAGTTTTGTACTCAGCTGTTCCTCCACCAGTGAACCCCCTTATCTACAGCGTGAAGAACCAGGAGATCAAGGATGCATTGGGGAAACTCTTTGGATACATGCTTTTTCAGCATCAATAGCATGTCTATGATTCTAACAGGACACTCAGCTTATTTGGGAAAGTTGTGGGACCTTCCTTTGCTAATGTTTGTCTCAATCTCCTGATTTTATTTTCATTTTAATATTGTTATTCCTAGCTTTCTACCTATTAAGTGTTTTATTTTCCTCAAATCTGTCTTTCTATGGAGAAAAACACAATAAAGACCCAATAATGGGTGAAAAGGCAATAACTCACCATCCCTCACCAGCAGACTGCTGTGCAGCCAGCCTTTGAGAACCTGATACATTGGAAATCATACCCCACGCCCTATTGCTCAGCACCCTCTCATATGCCATGGACCCATGCCTTTATTCAGGCTGGGTTAGCTGTCACTGCAAGTTCCCCTCCCAGCCTCTTGCTCACCCAAAGCTGACTCCCTGGTGGGGCAGAGTGAGAAGCAGAGAAAGCCTCGATGCTGTGCAAGTACTGCTCAGGAACAGTGACCACAGCTGTGGGTGACCAAAACAGCTCTGGTCACATATGAAATACACAGCACCACCGGGCCTGCTCTGCAGAGAGTAACTCCGTCCCAGACAGAGCCAGTACAGGGCCACTGATGGACAAGAATCATAGAATCATAGAATCATAGAATATCCTGAGTTGGAAGGGACCCTTAAGGATCATCAAGTCCAACTCTTGACACCGCACAAGTCTACCCAAAAGTTCAGACCATGTGACTAAGTGCACAGTCCAATCTCTTCTTAAATTCAGTCAGGCTCGGTGCAGTGACCACTTCCCTGGGGAGCCTGTTCCAGTGTGCAATCACCCTCTCTGTGAAGAACCCCCTCCTGATGTCAAGCCTAAATTTCCCCTGCCTCAGCTTAACCCCGTTCCCGCGGGTCCTGTCGCTGGTGTTAATGGAGAAAAGGTCTCCTGCCTCTCGACACCCCCTTACGAGGAAGTTGTAGACTGCTATGAGGTCTCCCCTCAGCCTCCTCTTCTCCAGGCTGAACAGGCCCAGTGCCCTCAGCCGTTCCTCGTACGTCTTCCCCTCCAGGCCTTTCACCATCTTCGTAGCCCTCCACTGGACACTCTCCAACAGTTTCATGTCCTTTTTAAACTGTGGTGCCCAGAACTGCACACAGTACTCGAGGTGAGGCCGCACCAGCGCAGAGTAGAGCAGGACAATCACCTCCCTGGACCTACTAGCGATGCCGTGCTTGATGCACCCCAGGACCAATGACTGCTTTGTCCCCCAGGTGCGCCTCAATAAGTTCGAGAACCATCTTCTCCATGATTTTAC